AACAATCAAGCTAGTATTTTGATTGAACAAATCATAGCGAGGCTGTTGTGTTTTTTGGCAAAACAAATATTTGGACGATATCTGCCCCAAATACATTAAACATTTTGCAAAAACCCGATTTTCCACAGAAAACTTTGCCTGTTGATAAAACAATTTTTCCCGTTCATTTCGGTTCGAGTGGAGGAAAATAAAAAAATATGTATTTCGATATTCGGCCCGGCTTATTGGGAAACCGTTGCTGGGAGCCAAATTTTAGACTTGTACTTTTATTGGTGTACGAAGTAGCGCGCCTTTGGCCAAAACCCTTATTTTATCCGGCCTTATTCAGCCCTCGTATTTGGAAGTTCACTTCGTGACCACGAACTCACTTCAATAAATAATTGTCGGCTTTCCTATTGAATTTTGATTATTGGTTTGTGTGACTGTTTTTCTCAAACCAATCAAGACTTTTATTATAGAAAATAGGAAACGTATGCAAAGTTAGATATTGAAGTTATTAGAGAACTCATCTAAAGAAGAGTTGGCGACTCAGAGTAAACAGAGCTGGCGATTCTCAAACATTCCAGTTTAACGCTTCATAAACATTCACAAATTTTTTTCGATTTTTTTCCTATCTGCGTGTAATTGTTATTATATTATTTTCCTTCCTCGTTTATTTCATAACGTTTCCGCGAGACAACAGCGCCATCATCAGATTTAAAATTAATACAAACTCATAATTGGTAAACATTACATTCATTTAGGTCTTTGCTGTCTTGAAACCTTCAATTTGTTGTGTGAAAACCAATTACCAATTATGAGTTTGTATGAATTTTAAATCTGATGATGGCGCTGTTGTCTCGCCGAAACGTTATGAAATAAACGATCAACAAATTTTTGTTTCACACTTTGACTGGAGCCCAGGAAGGAAAATAATATGATTCACAAATTTATTACACATTGTTCCATACATTAAACAACTCTAATGTTAAAAGTCGCACATTTTTGAATTTAAACTAGCTCTTAAATACTACCATTTTCCAGTTTTGTCTTATTTATTACGTTTTTATCATGTTTCCGCTTAGACGAAGAACCATGCACAACGATTTTCCTTTGAATTATTTTAATTTATTTCGGCGTCTTGCTTAATGCAGCTCCTATTTGTCTACTTGCAGATAATTTTCTCATTATGTAGATAAAGCGGAATTTATGCCGCAGTTTTAAATGTGAGCCAATTTGAAGCATTGTCTTGCATCAAATTAATTAAGGCTTATCTTCATTGTAATTCGTTGCGACTGGTTATTCATATTCGTGATTTGAGGAAAATCTCACTTATGTTTTCTGGAAGTGTAATGCTCTTTTTCTGCTAAGCGTCCAGTAAATATCTTCAGGACATCGCTTAAAGTTTCTTTACGTAAAGACGATGTGGCAGCAAATGAAAATGTACTAGTTTGGGTGATTGTTTGTTTTCCCTACTAAGAACACAGTTTAAATCATCTGAAAGTTGGACGCCACTGTAGATAAACACTAGAAAGTAGAAACCCTTCATTGAAAAATTACTTCCTGCTAGCTTTGCGCTCTACAGGATAACCGGGCCATAATATTTCTCATTTGCCTTTATCTGAGCACAAAGGCTAATTGCACTTGAGTACATTTTTAATTAAAAAAAGGGTTCTTTAGTTTTCTTTTTGTCGCTTTAAGAAGCTCATTTTTCGTATTCTAGTTCTCTGAATTCGCTTCTAAATGGGCCCGTACCAATCTTGGTGTTATCTTAATTTCGGACAAAACCTAACTGAAGTGAAAACTGGCGAGTGGAAATCTCGCATTTTTTTTGTTGATATAATAAATCTTCAGCAGTTCACATGGCTGCGAACTCATTAATTTTCTTCACTTTCCAGTAATTAAAATTTGGTATTAAATTTATCTTCTGGACTTATTAAAAGAGCGAAGTGCTAAATGAGAAGCTCGCAGCAATTAAATTATGTCCGAAGGTGCTTCTTTTATGTTGCGGCTAATTAGGGCGAATTCTTTCCAACTGTTCATTTATTAAGGATTTGTGCATCCAATCTGTTTTTAGGAGTTTGAGTTTTTAGGATTTAATCTGTTGATTGGTGTATAATCACTAGCAGTTGGCAAAAGGAATTGATCTCACGACAGTTTTGCGGTTCATTCAATATATTATTTAATTGCCCTTATATCAGAACCTACTGTATATAAATGCGACTAAACGGTAAAGTTTTCTGAGTCGAGGTTGCCAATTTGAAGGAAAACTGCGTCCCTAATTGCCATCATTAAAAGTGATGATAAGAAATTCCGGTTTAAACAAAATATAATTACCATCATGGAGAGTTGAAAGTTTTTTTGCATTTCCTTTCAAAACTCTCGGCTTGAATGCGAAACTTTCGTTTTTATATAACCGGCATTAATTTCTAGAAAATGAACGGGCAATCCTGAAGCTTGCGCTTAATTTTTTCTTTGAAATATTTATTAGGGCTTAATGAAGTTAAATTTTCTTTTCGGTAGAGAAGAGCGTCTCATAATAAGTAGATAATTATCATTTTGAGAGAGGACTGCGTCTGCTTTCAAATATCTTCTCTATGAAAACAATTTTTTTTAATCCCAGTGGAGTTGCCGTGAGTAAGGACTTGTTTATCAAGGAAAACATTAGCGGATTATTCTTAATTCTGTTTAATTTTGGTAGCGGAAATCAGTTAAGAAATCATGCGAATTTGCAAAATCCCCAGTGATTAGAACGATAACTAGAAAAATTGAAACATTTTTTAAATCTAGTTTCAATTTGATAGTAGTTGCACTTGTAAGTTTTTTAATGTTTTTAACATGTTTTGTTTCGCGTGCTCATCAATAGAGTTGCGTTCTGATTTCCTCTTCTTCGCCTTCTGTAACTGTCGTCTTTGAATAGCAAATTCAATTGAGCAATTGAGGTTTCACCGTTGAAAAGTGTTGGACTTTTGCAGGCATAGGGAGTTTTCACTTTTTTTAAATGTTGATATATAGAAAATAGTTATGGCAAACATTACACTGATATAATTTTTTTTGCAAAAAAGTCTCCATAATAATTTTAAAGCGAATTTAAATTCAAATTAGATATTTTCCGCCAAAAACGCCGAATCCGTATCGGTGGTTGCCTATCCCGATTGTGACGTAGCAGGTCATATCAACAAAGTGTCTCGTGTTTGTTTTGTGGTTTTCGCAGCTTTGTTTTACTATTTAAGTTATTGGGATTATCATTATTTTATTGATTATTATCTTGCATAATGGAAAATAGTGACATGTATGGATCACAAAATAAGTGGTGTTTTGTGCCAGGATGCAAGAATACCTCAATAAGTGCTCCAAACAAACTCTTTCTAACAGTTCTTCATGATGATGCACGTAAAGTTTTATGGTTCAAAGCAGCTGGACGTCATGTTCCTAATTCAAAATCAATGTTTTTTTGTTGCGAGGATCATTTTGATGAAAGTACGAACAAAAAGCTAATGATGAGGCAGACAGAATATGCGTTCGATCGTACTTTGTGTTCTGGGCAAATTCTACTTTGAACAATGCACAAAGAACCATCGCGTTTCAATTCCACATATCCGATATCACCATATTGTGCTCGTGATGCCCAAAATACAAATTTAAGAGTTCATTTTACTTTTAAAGCAGCCATGTGTATAAGTTAGGTTAAGTTGAATAAGTGAAATTTTATATATTATTTACTTAATTTAAACCAATACAGACAGATTAGTATATTAAGGAGAGAGCAACTAATAATGAATTTACGGATTTTTACTTACGCTGCTGCTTTGACACCCTTAAATTCGGCTGAATTAAAGCGTTCGATGTTTTTTAAAAATTCGGTAACCATAAAAATATGTACACTTGGTAAATTGTTTGCTGACGCTTTAAGGAATCGTTCTGAAGCCATTTTTTAGTTTAACACTAACTATAAATTATTTAAATCCACGAAATAATTATTGAAACAACCGCACAACTAAACACTATGCACAGAACGTAAAGAATCCGCCATTTATATGACCAGCGACGTCACAACCAAGGATTGCGTTTTAGAGATTCATGAATAATTTGCATTTTAGCTCAATTGGTTTATTAAATATTTAACAAAAAAGCAATAGATAGATAGTATAAACTTATTTAATCTTTCATATATATGTATATATTACCATAGATTAATGTTCAGTTTGTAGGAATTTTTGATACAATGAAAACAGTGGGTTTTTCGGGCTTGGTTTGGTTGCGGCAGGAGTTGTTTCCTTCTAGTGGAACGCGTAAATTGCATTCTAAGCAGTGAAAAATTGCAAGTTTCTAGTCATATTCGGCTGGTACCATCGAATGCACGTAATTTATGGATCGATGCGAGACACTCGTATAGTCACTGAATACAGAGTTTCCAAGGAAAATAAATCTCCTTAAAAACATCGTGGCTCTTTTGCTGGAACGAAGTATTAGTGTGGCGGAAGAAGACAAATGCTCGTTGCAACAGACTTGCCGGCATACGAATGCCGTTTAGTCTTGACACATTATAAACAGTACGAAACTTTTCATCCGATCTAAGCCGAGCTGGTGGAGCATGTAAGACGTTTATCGAATTCCGCTCCTTTTCGCCATTGTAGTTGCGAACGAAAAATTGCCTGGCCAGCAAAAGAACCGAAACTATCGAAATGGCATGTCGGCAATGAACGGGAAGGACATTTTTCAACTGTTTTGTCGCCGCTTGAAGTCGATCCTTCAGCTCTTAAGTCGTTTTGGTCTCGGCCTAATTTCCATTTTCCGATCTGCAATGTTTTCGAGTAGGATGCCAGATTTAATGAGAAACTGGAAATTAACGTAAACAAATGCTGATCATAAGTGATCATAGAACAAGGCTTATATAGAAACGACTCTTACTCTTGTAGAAAGTGTGTCGCTAAAGTGGCTGAGAATTAAAGAATTCAAACAAACCTCCATTAGGAACCCACTAGACTTGCTTATTTTTAATTGTGCCGCAAGGGGCAGCTGATAATAGGGATAAATGACACAACTACACAAAAATACATATAAATATATATATTCTTGCTGTTTATTGTTTAAATAAATACTTTTTACAGATAAAAAAATCTTTGGAGCATTTTTAGGAACAACTTTAAAACATACGCCTTTTGTGATAGGAAGCCGTGCATTTTCTAACAGCCTTCAAGACACCAATAAACAGCTACCATCTTCGCAGATTATTGACGATTTATGAAAACAGATAAGGAAAAAGATAATCTGAAAATATGAAAATATCGTTATTCATTTTGAACAGAGGTTTATGTTTAAATATTAATCTGTAATTCTACATAATACAGAGGTGTTAAGTACCGGTTTCAGCGGTGAGCAACCCAACTAGCTCTAATGAGAAAAATATCCTGTTTTCCATTTATTTGTTTGTTGATGAAAATGCCACCTGAATAATAAGCTAAGTGATTTCGACTGATCCAACAAAATATTCACAAATTACGTATTGGAGAACATGGGGAAACAGATCACAATCCAGTATGTGCAGGAAGCATGAGGCACGAAATCATACAACTTATCACAGATTAAATCGTCAGAAATGAATAAAATCGGCATATGCTTTTTCTTTGGATGACAGCGAATAGTCAACATCGACAGACATCTTGTCCATGACAAACCCATAAACA